TGTCCTCAGAGATCATTTTATATTGCTACGGCCTCACAGAATATAGAGGTGAATAAGTGTATAATGCTGAATGCCTTGGCTAAAGGACAGTCTATCTTTAATGAATACAATTATATATATATATATATACAGGTCCATGTGCTGCATGCCCACAATCACAGAAGGAGGAGAAGGAATTGCACTGTGGCAAGGTCATCCACCCTGGGAGGTGATTTCTCACGTTCCCTCTGTCTCTCTCTGGAATGTTCATGACCCAAAAAACAAAAACAAAAACAAAAGAAACAAAAAATAAAAAATAAACAAAAAATTAAAAAAAGGAATTGCTTTCTTCGGGACAGCTTGTGCGAGATGGTTAAGATCTCACATGGCCAACTACATTTAGTTTTAGACCTGGTGGCTTGAAGAACACACTGAGTGCATGTGCCTATGCACCCAAAATCCCGAGGGGAGGAAGAAATAGAAGAGAGGGGATTACAGTGTGACCCTTCCCCCATGGGGAACGCTTTCTCACCTTCTCTGTCTCTGTCTCTGTCTCTGGTGAGCATGTGTACCCTATGGCAAATTTGGGGAAAGTGTTTTCTTTATAATAATAAATTATAAGAATAAGTCATAGAATAATGACTAAATGATAAATATGATAGCAATCCCAGCTCTTTTGGCAAATACTGTTTCAACAATACATCTAATAAAAATAAGATAAAAAATTGCCTAGAAATTCAAACAGGTTCGTGTATATGCAAAGTGACATAAAGCAGGCCATAAATAGCATGGCTAAAACATGCCACTATGTTATGTATAGACAAGGGTAAGAGGCTAAAATTAAAAATGCTTGTATTATGGGAATGACTTGACTTTTTGTTTCCCATCACATTATGTTTGCGATATTTACCTATCTAAACAGAAGGAAGAAATGTATTCACAATCCTAAATTTCGCTTCTAGCTGTTTTCTACCTTATGGATCAAGTCTTAAATTCTGTCCTTTTATTATTTTTCATCATAAGTAGTCTTTAGTACCTATTATAAAACATGTGCTCATCAAGGGACTTTCGAGACCCAAGATAATTCACCAAGAGCCCTTTACTAGGGGTTTTCAAGGGGGGATTTCCTTATTCAGGTTTCTGACCACATCTTAGAAAACTGTTACTCTCTCCAACCAGCACTTGTATCAGTGATCTGGCTTCCCGAAATCATTCTGGCAGCCTTTAGAGAGATTCCTTTGACATACTGACACCTCCACTGTAAGATTATTTAAATGACTTGCCCAGTGTTCCAAAAAGACTCAGAGACTATATCCAAATCCAGGTTCTTCTTTGCCTCTATTTCATCACTTTCCCCTCTGTAAACTCAGTGCAAGAAATATCTCCAAACTGAATTCTAATTTGCTGCCTCAGGGTGGTCATTGTATTTCAGGCAAGGACAATCAAAGACTTTTCATTCAAATAACTGTAGCTAGCAGTAGGGGCCCTGATAATCTCCAAGCATCAGTTCAATTTTTGTCTCCCAATATTGTAGTCATCGATAAACGTGTTTTTCTATCCTGATTGTTAATGTTCTGATTCATATTTCATCAATTTATTGTATCATAAAAGTTTTCACGTCATGTTCAAGCCCATTTGAGAACCAAAAATAGAAACATATTGGTTGTGACCCATCTTACATTTCTTCGGTCTGGTTTAAGAAAATGATTAAATTATATACTGGTTAAATTAAATTAAAAATCAACTAAATTGAATTATAAGATGATTAAATTAGAATTAAACACCATTCTTTATTTCCCCCTGTACATATGAGGGGACTTCAGAAAGTTCGTGAAGAATGCATATTACATAAAACTATGCATGGATTTCAAAGTATTTATGCATCAAAATAAACTCATATTTTAGTTCTATTTTTTCACAAACTGAAGTACCCTTGTACACAGTTGTACATTGGTTTCTTTTCCAAACGCTCTCTTCTTTCCTTCGATCATAATTTTGAGACGACTGTTTCAAAGAAACCGTAAAAGAAAATGGCTGCATAGTGACTCCTGGCTAGTGTCCTAAAACTCACAATAAAAAGACTTCAAGGTTATGTATGGTTCAAAAAAATGAAAAGAAAAAAAAAGAAAAGAAAAGAAAAGGAAAAAGAGTGCTTGCAGCTATTTTGCAAATTTGTAAGCTGGACTCTGATCTCCCCTAGAAATTTGTCAACGTTTTACTTATTGTCAATGTCACGGAAAATGCACCCAGAAACCAGGGGACAGAAAACTAACTCCAAGAGAGCAGAAAGAAGGAAAGAGAAGCAAAGAGGTAGAGGACCAGGGTATGCACGAGATGCAGGAGGCACTAGAGGCTAGAGGACTTGGCAAGAGAGAGAAGGGGAAAAAGCAGCTTCCCCATCTACTGCCAGGCCACCGAAATGATTAAACAGAATTTGCTTCCCTGTTTCAAACATGAGTAGCCCGCCTCCGCCTCATCTGTGTGTTATCTACCACAGAAGCACGACTAAGTGGGGAAGCATAAAAGCAGGCATTTTCTGCAGACACATGAGGCGACACAACAGTGTGAAAACTTCTCTAGGAATCAGAGACATGATGGGGGGGGCAAGGCTGAGTGCTGCATAACTAAATTAAGAAGCAGCATATAAAAAGGGGGAAAATGACAGATACACTGCAAAATGTAAACCTTGATTACCTAGGCCACAGAATTATGTCTGCTTTTTTAAATTTTGCTCATCTGCATATAAATTATATTTAGTACGCTTGCATTTCCTAGACACACAGAATATAAAAATGTAATAAATTACACTTTATTTTATTACAGGTGTTATAATGAAGTGTATATGTGTACACACTACCTGTGTATGTACATCCATGCATACGTGTATGCACTCTTTCAGAAAAGCAATGTTTCCTTGGTTCTTTAAAAATGCATCCTCTGGTAAAGATGTTATCTATTAAATTAAACTATTTGGGCCTAAAACTACCCCTGTACTCCCACGCTTCGATTCCTGCGGATAAGCCAAAATTGTACACGTTAGGCTGTTTTTCTGAGCTGGCTGCTAGATTACAACCAATCACAGCAGCTAGGCTTCAGTCAATCACAAGCATCCCACCTTTTAAACCATGTTAATGCAGACAAACTTCAGAATGTAACCAATGATTTCTCTACCTCACTCCTCACTTACATTTTCTGTCTCATACTGCAGGCACACTTAAATGCCGAGTCGACCACAAAGCTGGCACGGGTTGTCCAGAAGTCCAGGGACAACGGCCCAATCTAAATCTTAAATGTTAAGATTTGGTCTATTAAAACTCTATAAAATTAGCTGGTTTATTTTTCTTTTAACAGTCCACAAGTTAAATAATCATTACAGGCTTTGACAATTTTGTTCCACTCTTGAAAGAAAATCTCACTGCCGAAGCAGTGGCTAATGACAAGAGAGAGATGAATATGGTCTGAGGGCTATGTATGGTCTCTTTTAATTTTGTATCTTGAATATATTCCGGAAGTTTTTAAAGGAACTCAAATATTACACATTATTTCGAAAAAGGACAGAACAATTTTTTTTTTGTCTAATCATGAAAGAGTGCTAGACAGCACATGCTTTTTCTTTATTTTCTTATTTTATTTAATTTCATTTATTATTACTTTTCATTTGACAAGAGAGTGAGAGAGAGAGAAAGCCACCAGGTCCAGGCCTTGAATCACAGGTGGCCATGTGAGAGTTCAGTGCCTTAACCACCAGGCCATCTGCCAACCCCATAAATATCCTTTTCCTTTGTTACTCTTGGTGTCATCTGAAAATCGGATGCAATCAGCAAATCCATGTCCTGGGCTTTGGAATTAGATCTAGGCTGGTCCCAGCTCTGCCTGTTACCAGCTGTGGGTCCCAGCTGAAGCACTCAAACTCTCTGAACCTTTTTCATCTGTAAAGTGAAGATGAGGACTTCCTCACCGCTGGGCTGCCAGGAGAATCGTCTAGACCACGTTTGTGCACACTCCCATCACTGTGCCAGGCACTCGGTAGGGGCTCAAGAACTCTAAGCGGCTTCAGAGCTCAGAGAACTGCTCTGGGCAGAGAGCCTTGGATCTGCCAACCTGCGGCTGGCGTTTCCGAGCTCTCCCCAAGGGGCCGCTCACGCCTCCAGGCCCGGGACTGGCGCTGATTGCGCGCGGTGGGAACGGGTACCCCCGCGGAAGCCGCGAGGCCGAGGAGAAACTACCGTGGGAGTGCAATTTAAAAAAGGGCGAGAAGGGGGTACAGAACAGAACAAAACACTAAACCACCGAGGCAGGGACTTACAGTCTTGGGGAGATGAATTCCCGGAAGGGAAACAAAACAGTTTCTTTTTCTGCCCGGCGAGAGCAGGTAAACAAGGCTTCCGAGGCGCCGTGAGCCCCAGAATAACTTTTTCGAGATAGAAACGGAGCCTCCCGAGGCCTTAGGTGGAACCACTGCCTGGCCGACCTGCTCCCCGAGTGTGAGAACTGTCCGAAGCCGCCATACCGGTGCAGGAGAGCGCGGTGCCCCAGCCCGCCCGGCGTGGCGGCGTGCGCTCGCTCCCCACTCCAGAACCGGCCTCTGGCTTGGTTTGCCCGTACGTGTCCAGAATAGCCCTCCCCTCTGCAGCCGGGGTCCCTGTCCGGCGACCCAAAGCCTCCCAGGTCCCTGCCTGCATTTCTCTCTGCCACCCTCCGACGCCCACCTCTTCTCTGCGCCCTGCACGGTCCCCCAACCCCACTCCTAAAGGCGCATCGGAGCAGCTCCACCTGCCCTGCGAGCACTTGGCGCCAAACCCCTAGAAAAGCGAGCTCCCCGGCTTCCTGAACACCAAGATTGAAGGGACAGACCTTGCAGCCCTCAGGAGATAAACTGTCAAACTCCTGCCCACCCTGGACCTCCCGGCGCTCATCGCTCTCCCCACCATGCGTCCCCGTCGCCACCGCCGCATGGGCCCCGGAGCGCCTTTCCCCGGCTGAGCAGGGAGAATCTTCCACCCGGGCAGCAGGGGGCTCACCAGAGACAGCAGAACCCAGGGCCGGGGCATGGCTGTGAAGCAATCCGCCGAAGTGAAAGGACTTCTCCGGGAGAAGTGACAGCTCTGGCTGGCCCCTCCTCCAGTTCTGGCTGGCCTCCGGGTGTGTCCTTTGGCAGGGCTTGCCAAAGTGCCAGCAGTCGCGCTTAAGCCGCCTCCTGTCCTGAGAAGCGTCTTTGAACACCTGTGGCCTGCGTCGTTGTTCCAAGAGACCACAGGCGACCTAAGGAAAAGCCCCAGAGGTCAGGAGGAGAGGGCAGAGAGCTTTGCTGGGGAACGCTGGGTTCCAGGCGCCTTGATTGATTCAGCAACTTGGCCTGCGCGGGCTGGGGCTGGGGCTGGGGGAAGCCCCGTGGTGGGGAAGGAGTCAGGGTTTGTTGCACAAATGGGCATTCCCCATCTGGAGGTGTTCCTGTAGTTGGCTGGCAGGCGCGGGTCAGGTGCGGATTTTCCTTCCTAAAAGCTTCTATGATAGTTCAGCCTGGGCGGGTTGAAGAGGTCCGGAGCCAAGCCTGAACTCAGAGCTGCACACATCCTGCCTGGCCTCAGGAGACTTGGCTAATTCCTGGGGACAATCGGTGGCAGACCTGAGCTTCACTCGGCTGTGGTATTGTGGCTAATGTGAGAGGCTCCCAGGAGCCCCTGAATCTTGTCCTAAGTGGTAGTTATTATACACAGGGTACAGCTACTGTGCTCCAGCGTTCAGAGAAGGAATGGCCCCGCAGGTTGTATTTCTCAAGAGGAGAACACAGCTGACTACAAATCACACAGCCCTAGCTGTATTCAACGTTCACAATTACTTCCTCTCCTCTCTTACTCATTATTTCCTGACCAAAGTTTAAAGAAAAAAAAAAGTTCTTGTAATTCTTTAGTGTTCTGGTTAATACTGTGCGAAGCCACTATTGTTTTGGAAAAGTAGGTATCTCTTTAGCTAGTTTCGCAGGAATTGTACAGAAGGTAAGTTTGCGTAATGACATCACGAATGAGCCTGAGTCTGGAGAAAGTTCACAGACTGGGCACCACTGAAGGATTTATTTAGTGTTTCTTGGGTGTTCTCCACCAAGCTTTGCAGCTAGTTCTGCTGCCTTCTTCCTTCCCAGTTAGATGCATCGCATTAAGAACACTGTCCATGTGGCCAGCAGGTGGTGTGGAGGTTAAGGCACTAGACTCCCATGTGGCTGACCTTGGTTCAAATCTTGGACCTGGCAGCTTATTCTCTCTCTCTCTCTCATGTGTGTGCCCTATAGCCAATTTTTAAGAAGATAATAATAATAATTTTTTTTTGAAAAAAGAACACAGTTCTTCCCTTCCTTTTCCCTAGCCCACTCTTCACTCCAACCTTCAGGCTTTCTCTTACATGGCCTTTTCTTCTGGATGTCTTTTATTCATCCTGTGCTTTGCACTTGTCCCAGCCCTTACCACCCGGTCCTGAGGGGCTGATGTACCTGTCTCTGCCTCCGCTTCCATACATTGCCAGTGCTGTGAAGAAGACCCTGGTCTTGCCCATCGTGACCATACAGCTGGGGGGTGGGGGGACATTTTACTGTCACGAAAATAAAGTAGCGGATGTAGGAAAGGTGGTATGTGGGGACTTAGTATTACCTTTGCAAGTCTTCTGTAAGTCTAAAGATACTCTAAAATGAAAGTTGTGTTTAAATTTTAAGAAGCCTGTCGTAGCAGGCTAGTTTAAGGTCTAGCCGGACTGCAGCCATGTTGAAATTAAGAAAGGCTTCTAAGCAGAACAACCTGACAGAGTGCTGAGTCATAGGGAGGTCTGTTTGAGGAAAGGTCAGATGAGAAATGAGGAATGGATGTTTGAAGGAATCAGGACAATTATTCAGGGAAAACTGACTGATGGATTACAGTGAGGAAAGATTTGCGTGTGATTGTGTCTTGCGCCTATAAATACCGAGAACATGTTGAGATTTTTGAGACAGTCTGATGGTCCTTGCTGACTGTCTTCCTGTAACTGGTTACCCGGTTACCAGATCAACTCCCTTCTCTGGCCCCTGTCTCTAATTTCATTAACCGCAGTAACTAGATGCAGTCGGGCAGGTGAAACCATAAAAGGAAGGAAAGTAGGAAGGGGGGGTGGGTGAAATAATTGACAAAACCCAGCATCTTTCGGGTGTGAATTATTAGCCAGGAACTCACAAATGGCTCTTCCTCACTTAAATACTTGTCATTAAGACTCAGTGAGGTGGGTGATTATTAAGCTTACTTTACAACTAAATGATTATTGCCCAAAAAGTTTAAGCTACATTGACAAAGTGGGTTAGTTACTAGCAGAACCAGGAATTAAATTTAGATATTCTTATTCCTAAGGAATTGCTCTTTCTGCTAACTCCCCACCCCAACCCTTCCCCCTTACACATATGAGGTATGTACCTAGTAACCTCAAGTTCAATGAGATAGGAAGAGGTGCTTTGTGGGTAGAAATGTATTTCATGGTCAAATGATTTTTTAAATTCTGGGTTTATTTAAATAGATCTCTTTAGCCAAGACTTCTCAAAGCCTTTAATATGCTGACATATGTAGTAAATCTCTAAGAGAAGAAATTGATGTATACTGTTATTCGGACCTCTTTCTCTATGGAAGCTGGTGAAGAATATCTATTGCGTAATAGTACATAATGCAGTGTTCTAGGAAAAATAACTTGGGTGTCTCTAAAGGTTTTTTTTAAATGTATTATTTTACGTAACTTTATTTATTTTAATTTGACCAGAGAGAGACAGAGGGAGAGAGCGAGAGCGAGAGAGCAAGAGAGAGAAAGTGAGAAAGCAAGTCATCAGGTCTAGGACTCAAACTTCAGTCAGCCATGTGGGAGTCCAGTGCCTTTAACCACCATGCCACCTACCAGCCCCATCTAAAGCTTATTTTTATGTTAACAATCCAACTTTAAAAAGAGTTTCCTAAGTTTTCAAGAACTAAGAGATGTAATTTTAACAGTAGAATTTTGAACACTTATCAGATGCATGGGATATTTTGGACAACCATATTGATTTTACTCAAACCATACCTTACCAGTTACAGCTTTTTCTTTCTACTCTAAAGATGGCCTCTGTACATCTCATTCCAATTAACATTTAAATACATGTGTAACCATGTAAAAAAGTGGGAGGAAGAAAATCTTCAACATCTTTTCACCAATGAGACTTTTTTTTTATCCCTTCTTCCCATAATCAATAGTTAACTGAACTGCAGTGCAGGAAGTCACATGGTCAACCACAGGTTCGGGCCCCAAGACTGTTCTAAAAACATGATGAACTCACATATGTGTCTAAGATCCTGATGAGCTGGAAGGCTGAAGAAGGGGGGTTATAGTGTGACAAGAACCTGTCTAGGATATTTCTCTCATTCTCTCTCTCATGTGCATATGTGCATTCACATGCTCTCATGAATAAAATAAACTTATTTTTTCTTTTTAAAATAGAAGGCCAGCCCGTGGTGTGGTAGTTAAAGTGGCTGGATCGCACATGGTCAACTGTACTATTTGAGTCCTGGACCTGGTGGCTTGTAAAACAGACCAGGTGCATGTATGTGCCTAAAATCCCAAGAGGAGGGAGAAATGAAGAAGGGATTGCTTTTGGCATGACAATTTCCCCCAGGGGGTTCTTTCTCACTTGCCCTCTTTCTCTTCCTCTCTCTCTCTCTTTCTCTCTCTCACCTGCAAGCACATGCACTGTCTGGCAAAACTTGAAAACATAATAGAAATCATTATTAACCAAACTGTTTTCACCAAATGGCAATACACGGACTTTTTAGGTTCCCAGCTGTAGTGGGCATCCATGAGAGTTGATCATTAAGTCTTTTCCCCTTTTATTTATAGTACTTCCAAATTGCTTTATGGAAAACTGCCCCCTTCCCCTATTCTGAACTGTTTGCTGTGAGTGTCTCTCTTCTGTAAGAGTTCTCCAGAGAAACAGAACCAGTAAGGCGTATACATTTTGAAGAACTGGCTAAGGTGTTTGTGGAGGCTGGTAAATCCAAAATCTGCAGCATAAACCAGCAGACTCAGAGCCCCAGGAAAGAGTTACAGTTAGAGTTCAAAGGCAGGCTGCTGGCTGAATTCCCACTCTCTCAGGGGAGCTCAGTCTTTTTCTTAAAGCTTTCAACCGATTGAAGGAGGGCATTATGGAGGGTAATTGTATTCTAAGCCTATAGATTTAAATGTTAATCCTATCCAAAAAATAGCTTTGTGGAAACATCTAGAATGGTGTTTGACCACATACCTGGATATAGGGGCCTAGCCAAGTCGACATATAAAATTAACCATCAGAGAGAGATCAGCAGATGGCGTAAAGGTTATGTCACTGGATTCCCACGTAGTTGACTGCAGTTCGAGCCCTGGTTTGAGCCCCTGACCCAGTGGCTTAAAAGTCACTCTGGGCACATGTGCATGCATGCCCAAGATCCCGAGAGGAGAATGGAGGAGAAGGGACTGCAGCATGGCCATCCCTCCTGGAGGGTGGTTTCTCACTTTCTGTCTTTCTGGCAAGTGCACACACTGTATAGCAAAAAATTTCTCTCTTGGAAAAAACAAAAACAAAAACAAAAACAAAAACAAAAAACAACAAAAAATTTGATCAGAGTCATTGATTGACACCAATCCCAGGGCCTGAGTGCATATGTAGGTGGGGGTAGGTAGACAAGGAACTCCACTTGGCCTCGGACAATCAACATATCACATTCAATGCAAGAAACCTTGGGACCCTCACTGGAAACACTGGGACACCGTTCCTCTGCTCCACTGCATGTGACATGGGAATATGTGAGAAATAGAACAGGTATCGTTGGTTGTGAATGGAGCAAGTGGCCCTGTCAGAGCTGAAAGCAGTCAGCTACAGCTGAGAGGAAGCCACACAGAGAGGAAATCAGGCTGGAAGTCAGGCCCTGAGCTGGATGGGTTTGGTCTTGAAACAGCCCTGGACTCTCTACAGTTACCCAGTTCAATAACATCCCAGTTTTTGCTTGAGCCGGATTCTTAGAACTGAAAGGATCCTAACTGATATACCATAAGGGCAGATGATCAGCATGAGAAATCCTTTGTTAACCAAAGCACTTGTTGTAACTGAGCTAATCTGATTTCAGGCTCAAGGAAGGATTAACTGCCTAAGAAGTCCCATTACAGATGGCCGAGAATCTAGGATATTACATCTACCTCTAGTCTGTCACTAGAGGGCGGCAGAGCCCACATGGCCCAAAGGACAACATTGAATTTTG